CACAAACATACACTTTCCCCGCCTTCCATCCTCCCAATAAAGCTATTTCACCACTTGGAGTCACTATTCGGTGCTTTTATTATGATCATGTAAATATTACTGTTCAACTTTTCGTGCTCCCTGGAGTTAGTAACTACTTCGTTTTATCATTTGCTTGGTTTTCTGGGCACCAATTGCTAATTCAATCCCAAAGTTTCCAACAGAACTATTTACTCTGAATATATCTAAACACAGCCAACGACCAATCGATTTCATTTTCCTCGAGAGACATCCCTCCTGGAGCAGTTTTCTGGTTCCAGGCTGGGTCGGCTACTTTCTTCACCAGGGAGGCGCAGCTGACATGCCGGGACTTTCTCATCATCCCTTTCCTACGTTTAGTCTCATTTATTGAATGCTGTGTTGTCCTCTTTTTCAGTTTAATTCCAATTTTGATGAAGCACATCCTCCAGGAGCTTCCTAAGAAAGGGTATAGGCAAGGTCAGTTGTTTTTTTTTTTTTTCCTTGAGACAGAGTCTCATTCTGTTGCCTAGGCTAGAGTACCTGTGGCATCAGCCTAGCTCACTGCAACCTCAAACTCCTGGGCTCAAGTGATCCTCCTGTCTCAGCCTTCCAAGTAGCTGGGACTACGGGCATGCGCCACTATGCCCGGCTAATTTTTTCTATTGTTAGTAGAGACGGGGGGTCTCACTCTTGCTCAGGCTGGTCTGGAACTCCTGACCTCCAGTGATCCTCCCGCCTTGGCCTCCCAGAGTGCTAGGATTACAGGCGTGAGCCACCGCTCCTGGCCACAAGGTCAAATTTTTGAGACCTTATGTGGTTGAAAATGTCATTATTCCACCCTCACGCTTGACAATCATTTAGACATACGTTTCTAGGTTGGAAACCATTTCCCCTCAGAATTTTGAGGGCATTGCTTTATTTTCTTCTAGTTACCAGTGTCAGCGTTTAAAAGTCTGATACCATTCTGACTTCTGGTCCTATGTATGTGATCTTTTTCTTTTGCAGAAGCTCTTAGGGGTGTCTTTTTATCCCAGGTAATTTCAATTTCATCACGTGTCTTGATATTAGTCTTTTTCTTTTTCTTTTCATTTTAGACATGGTCTTGCTCTGTTGCCCAGACTGGAGTGCAGTGGCGCAATCATAGCTCACTGCAGCCTCAAATTCCTGGGCTCAAACGATCCTCCCACCTCAACCTCTCAAGTAGCTAGGACTATAGGCGCACTACCACCACACTAAGCTAGTGTTTTAATTTTTTTTTGTAGAGACGGGGTCTTGCTATGTTGCTTAGGCTGGTCTCGAACTTCTGGCCTCAAGCGATCCTCCCACTTCTGCCTCAGCCTCCCCAAAGCACTGGAATTACAGACGTGAGCAACCGCACCCAGTCCCTTTTTCATTTATTGAACTGTGAACTGGTAGGAAATTATGGCTCTAGAGAATCGTGTCCTTCAGTTCTGAAAAGTTTCTTGATTTTTAAGAAATTCCCCCTTCTTTTTCTCTATCCTAATTTTCTAGAACTACCATCATTCAAATATTGATCCTCGAATTTTATTGTCTTTTTCTCTTTTCTTCATGGGCTTCAGTTACTTTGCTTTCTGGAAGATTTCCTCAACAATTCCTAGGTGTTGACTCTGTCATTGATAAATTCCATTGGTAACTTTTACCTCCAGTAATTGATCACAGCACAGCTTCAGTTCCAGAAATCAAAGCCTTGCCAGCCCCCACCTTCTCAGGGCTGACTTCCTTTTCTCAAATCATGCTTTCACTATTTTTCAGTGAGTTGTGATTGGGCTAGTGAATCCGACTTCTGATACCAATTCTCTTCAGAGTTCCCAAGACCACCCTTGGGTTCAAAGATTCACAAGAAGGACTCACAGAACTCAACCAAGTGCTTACACTCATGGTTACATTTTATTACAGAGAAAGGATACAGATTAAAACCAGCAATGGGAAAAGGTGCTCGAAGCAGGATCCAGGAGATACCAGGCACAAGCTTCCAGTTGTCCTCTGGAAGTGGAGTCGTGTGGACAGCACTTAATTCTCCCAGCATGATACATGACAACATGCACAGAGTATTGCTAGCAAGGGAGCCCACTGGTTTTTATTGGGGGTCAGTCTCACTGGTTGACTGCCCATGTGGCTGACCTTAGTTCAGCCCCTCTAGAGGTCAAGGTCCAAAGCCCTGCAGTAGAAATCAGGTCACTATCTGATGTGGCCCCAGGCTCCCAGGTAAACAAAGACATTTTTATTAGGCAGGATAGTCTAAGGACTTAGAGGTTACTTCCCAGGAGCCCAGCAAAAGCCAAACCGTTCTTTCAAATGTGCAGGGTTTTGACAACCCAGACTTGCTGAGTTAATCCTTCACTGCAGTGTATGCTGTTGGTGCCCCACTGATGCCCCCTTCACTGACTGGTGCCCCGACCCCTGCTATTGTAAGTTTTCAATGCTCCCAGGTCACAGCTGTCTGCTCTCTTCAAATGTCCTCAGCTGCTACGAGCTGCCTCACCCAGAAGGTTACACTTCTCAGGCACCACCTTCCCCCCAGTTTCCAACCCCATGCAGGAGCCACAGCCAATGACTGACACAGGGTACATGATGAGACTGAGTCTATGGTACAGTTCACCTTCCAGAGCTAGACTCCAGCCAAGACCACATCCTAGCTTAGCTCTTTCCCCTGCCCTGTCCTGCTTCCCTTCCCTCACTGCCCTGAACGTTTTCCTTCTGAGAGCACTCTCAATAAACCATGTGCATGAGAACCCCCATCTCAGGCTCTGCTTTTAGGAATTATGATCCAGCATCTGGCACAGTGCCTGGCACACAGGAAATAATGAATAATTGCTGAATGAAAAATAAACTCCGAGGAAGTCACAAATAGAACTCGCTTACAAATGTATGCAGAGCACCTGATGCATGGTGAAGCCTTAAGGAGCTTTAGTCAACCCCCTCCCCCCATTGCCCTACCCCTGCAATATGCGGTAGCCTTATCTTGGTGGGGTCATCAGGACGTGACACTCAGGTTTGCATGTCCAGGAATGCAATCTTGTGGATGCATCCAGAATTAATCAGGCTCAGGGGATTGGCAATCTTAAACCTTAATGCTAATTTGCTCATTTCCAAAAACAACTGGAACTTATGCCAAAAAAAAAAAACCCAAAAAAACAAAAAAACACTGGGATCTTCTGTTATACCGTGTCCCTTTATGGACAAATCTACACGTAAAGCCCAGTTGCCGAATAAGCAACAAGAGCCAGAGCAAGGGCAGTCAGTGGATGGTCCCAAGGGCCGGTGACAATGGCTCTATGGACTGCCAAGCCCATCACCCCCGAAGATGCCAAGGCCACCAGGCCTGAGTCTTTGGGCAGGGCCTGCTGGGGGCAAATATGCAGCCTGACTCTTGTTCTAGCTCCTCCTCTCCTTGGGGCTGTATGGCCACTGTCTCCCCTATTGCCACCCCCTTAAGTTTTCCTTAAAAGAATGATAATGAGGACAATGATTAAGTTCTCTTAATTATGACACATTTCCACTCTTACCTCTCAAGTCACTAACCTGAGATGTGCTGGAACCTCTGTAGCCATCACCCATTTACAAGTTATCAGTGGGACAGGTTTCTTGTCCAGGTGACCAATCCCTTCATTACATGTTCATTTTCCTCCCTAATTTGATTCTCGGAGAGGAACTATTTTTTTTTTTTTTTTTTTTTGAGACAGGGTCTCCCTCTGTCTCCCAGGCTGCGGTGCAGTCATGTGATCATAGCTCACTGCAGCCTTGAACTCCTGGGCTCAAGCGATCCTCCTGCTTCAGCTTCCCAAGTAGCTGGGATTACAGGGTGCACCACCACACCTGACTCCTCAGAGGGTAATCTTAACCTCCAATATGGGGTCTGCCCTATTTCTGGAACCCCAGTATCTGTAACACCTCCCACACACTGTAGTGCTTAGGACACCTAAACAGCCCCCTCCTGCCCCGCCCCATTTAGCAGTCACGTGGCAGCCCAGCCCCACAAAGCCTCAGGTGGCTCTGTGGCAGAGCCTGTCTCTACATTCCAGGATGGGCCGGTGCGGTGGCTCACGCCTGTAATCCTAGCTCTCTGGGAGGCCGAGGCGGGCGGATTGTTTGAGCTCAGGAGTTCGAGACCAGCCTGAGCAAGAGCGAGACCCCGTCTCTACTAAAAATACAAAGAAATTAATTGGACAACTAAAAATATATGGAAAAAATTAGCCGGGCATGGTGGCGCATGCCTGTAGTCCCAGCTACTCGGGAGGCTGAGGCAGAAGGATCGCTTGAGCCCAGGAGTGTGAGGTTGCTGTGAGCTAGGCCGACGCCATGGCACTCACTCTAGCCAGGGCAACAGAGCCAGACTCTGTCTCAAAAAAAAAAAAAAATAAAAAAATAAAAATAAAATACATCCCAGGACGGCAGACCTGGAAAATCCCCAATAAGGGCCCACAGGCATCACTCCACTCTCGTGGAAGAGAGCTGGGGACAGAGATATTGAATGACTTGCCCCTGGACACGCATCTCTGGGAACTCACAGGAAGAAGAAAGAAGCCTTTCCTTCCTTGGACAGATGCCCAAGTAGTAATGGGGTTAGAATGCCTTCCTGACAACTCAGATCCCCACGGGAGGGCCCTAGGGCAGAGAATTAGCAAAGGGAAGAGGGTGAGTCTTAGTTCTCAGAAATCCCTGACTTCCTGGCTAAGCCCCACCTAGGCCATCAGCTGCTTATGAGGCCAGACCAGCAGCAGTCCCCTCCCTTCCCCAGGGCCCCACCTGGCAACAGGTCACAATGCCCCAGCTGCCCAGTCCCAGAATGGCTCACCAAGGTGGGAGGAGGTGAGGAGGGCTTGCTGGGTGGGTATGTGGGGAGGGGGACATTCCCAAGGAGTCCAATTCCCCACTCTCTGAGCTCAACCTTGAGTGTCTGCCAGGGCGCCACCCCCTCCCACACTCCCACCACCATACTCCTTCCAGCACTGCTCTTCTTGTCACCTCCACCTCCCTCAATGACTCGGCTCTGCTTACCCAGGCCCAAAGCCCTTGAAGACCCAATGCCAGTTCCTCCCAGGGGCCTGGGTGCTGGGGAGGGGTCGGGTAGTCCAGTGCATCCATGTGTGTCCCCCCGTGACCCTAGCCGGGCCCAGCTCCTGGACAGTGTCCTAGGGCTGGGGGCACTGGGACTGACGATTCGGGCAGTCTTTTCCATGGCTGGTCCAACTCTGCTGCTGCTGCTGCTACTGGTCAGCTTCCTCGCCTTTGACCTGCTCCATAGGTAAGTGGGTGGCAGCCTGGCAGGTGGCTGTGGCAGGCAGGTGGGCAAGTGGTCTACTTCCCTAAGCCCAGCTGCCACCCTCTCTCTCCACAGGCCTTCAGGTCCCACCCTGCCACCCAGACTTCTCACAAGGGGCCAGAGTCAGGGGGCCGGCGAGGGCCCAGGACAGCAGGAGGCTGTCCTCCTACCAGCGGGGACAGTCACTGGACAACTCAGCCTCCAGGATGCACTGCTACTGCTGCTTATGGGACTGGGACTACTCCTGGGAGCCCGCGGCATGCCTGCAGCCCTGCTTGGTCTGGCTTTCTGCCTGCATCCTTGGGCCTGAGTGCCTCTCCAGAAACACTGTGTGCCCTCCAAAAATACATTGGCCATCCTCTTCCTCGGGACTCCTTTCTCCATCCTGGCTGGGCAGGTGGGAGGTTACCCCTTTATTTCCAGCCTAAACCTCAGGGGACCGCTGGCCTCTTAACATCGACAGTGGATACCTGTGTCTGAGTCTCACAGCAGCAAGAGGAGGCAGGATACAAGACAGGGATCCCAGGGCAGGACATAGTAGCCATCTCAGAGCCTGGGGTTGGGGGCAGCCATTCTGGCCTCCTCTGTGGCAGAGTATGAGGCTCCAGAGAGAAAGATTTGCAAGAGAGTGGGATGGGATGGATATCAGTCAGCAGGGAAGGGACAGGGATCCAGGGAGGGCTCCCACAGAAGCACAAGAAGCTATATGTGCCGGCCTCACTAGGCTCCCCTGCCAGGCTGGAGGGTCCATGCAGAAGGACTCAGGTGAGCCTCACACACTGCAGTGGCTTCTCTCTTGGTAGGACCCCACCCAGCCCGGGTCACAAAGGGGCTCCCCTGGGGAGGGTGGGAGTGGGTGCGAGTGAGGGCTTGGATGGGGCTGCCCCGCCGTCCTTGGGCGCTGCAGGAAACAACATGACTTAGGTGACTCTGCCCAGAGGTAAGTCCCAGGCCCCAGCTCTCAGCTCCAACCCACCCATGCTGGCGCCCTCCTGACCCCTGCACCCCCACCTGCCCTGGGGTCCCAGGCATCTCCAGGGCTGCTCCTGCAGCTGGCCTGGCCCTCTCCCCAGGTGCACCAGCCGTGATGCAGCAGCCGCCAGTGGAGACGGATACCATCGGGGCCGGTGAGGGGCCACAGCGGGCGGTGCCCTGGTCAGCCTGGGTCACGCGGCAGGGCTGGGTGCGCTGGTGGGCGTGCCACGTGCCCCCAAGCTGGGTCCAGTGGTGGAGCACCTCGGGCTGGCGGCAGCCGCTGCAGCGTGTGCTGTGGGGTCTGGAGGGGATACTCTACCTGCTGCTGGCGCTCATGCTGTGCCACGCACTCTTCACCACCGGCTCCCACCTGCTCAGCTCCTTGTGGCCCGTCGTGGCCGCGGTGTGGCGCCACCTGCTGCCAGCTGTCCTGCTACTGGTGCTCAGCGCCCTGCCTGCCCTCCTCTTCACAGCCTCCTTCCTGCTGCTTTTTTCCACACTGCTGAGTCTCGTGGGTCTCCTCACCTCCATGACTCACCCAGGCTATGCTCAGGACTTGGACCAATAGAAGGGCAATCTCATCCCACTGCCTGTGTTGTTGAGCCCTGGCCTGGGGCCTGAGGCCCCAGGGGAGAGGGAGGACAGCGGGACCAGGGGCTCCTGCCTTAGCAGGCCCCAGAATCACAGTCCCTAGCATGGGTCAGGGCGTGTGTGGTGTTGCTGGAACCAGCAGGTAGACTGGCCTGGCCTCTGGGCACTTCGTCAAGTGATGCTGCAGATGCCTGGTGTGAGGCACCAGGGACTTTGAAAAGGGGGGACAGGACAAATGGCTTAGCCAGGGGCAGAGCTTGGCCAAGCCAACGTCGATGTGATGACAACACTGCAGCCCTCTTAGCAACTGGCAGCATCTTCTTCTCGAAGCTTCTCAGCTGTCTCAACTTCAGACTCACTGAGAACTTCTACCTGGGTACCCCCGGACTTGCCATTCCTCCCACCAACTCCCTCTTTCCACTTCCAGGAGAATGCCAGACTCTAGGAAAGGCCCCAATGACAGAAATCTGGCTGGGAGAGGGCTCACCGGAGCCCATGAGACCTCAACTTATCTCTCAAACCTCACAGCCCAGGCATCCCCCAACTTCCTACCTCCTGCCTCAGTCCAGATCCCCAAGTCTGAGAAATGGGCCGAGCAGGGCAGTGAGTTTCCCAGACAGTACCTACTCACTCCTTAAGAGGCCCAAGGTCTGCTGTGAAAAACGAACAAGTCCCATTTCACCCACCTACACAATGTGTGGTCGTGGCTGATTAATCCTTTTCAGCCTCGGTGTTCAGTGGCTCCCTCCCGTGTCATGCGGTTCTTGTAAGTCAAAGGCAATATCTATTTGTGAAGCACTTTGTAAAGACCAAAACACTGTAAGATGTTGTTTTGAGCTCCAAGGAAAATCTGTCAGCTCAAAAGATTTTTTTGCCCCTGAAGGCTGCTGAAAGAGCAGACAGCCTCCCTAGGCTTTCACAGAAATGCTCTGTCTTGGATAGAATTTTGGCCCTAAAATGGGAAACAGAGGTTGGATGGGTGTGGACAAGATGGAAGAGGCTGTGTGCCATGAAATCTCAAAATGTGCAGATGTTGAACTCTTCTGATTGTGAAATGCTTGGGCCTGGGGCTTGGTGCCAGGAAATGCTTGCACAGCTGTGCGAGTGGGGAAAGCATAGCCACAGGGTTTCCAAACCTGCCCCAGCAAGCTGCTTACAGCCCCAGAAGGGCCTTGGAAGGTGGCGTCCCTTGATGCCCTGGATGCTGGCCATTTGCACACCCGCTGACCCCTCCAAATGAAACATTGAGTGATCAGTCATTACCAAGTAAGGTACGTAATAGACAATTTTACCCATAGCTGAGACCCACCCACCTGACCCCCACCCAATCCCTGGCCATCCTCAACTCCTACCTAGTCCTGATCCCTACTCTATATCTAACCCTAAAATCCCTGCTCCTGAAGTGCTGGCCCCAAGGTCCTCTCTCCTACCACCTAAATATTCAGGCTCTGGGAACCAACCACTAGAACCCTGGTTCATTTTTGCCAAAACCCACTTACTAGAGAGTTTCCCATCCCTGCCTGCCACTGGTTAGATTCCTTCAGCATCGGTGCCTGAAACCCAAGGACCAGTCCTTCCTTTCTGTTTCTTTGTAGTTCTCCCTACAGTATGGTCTGGTAGCAAGGGCAAGGAAAGACATGGAGATGACATGCCTTGTGGTTAGCATGGGCTTTGGGGTATGAGCCGAGGCTGGGCTTGAATCCCAGCACTGCCATTTCTAGCTCCATGGCCTTGGTGGAAATTGCTAAACCTTCCTGAATTTCACTTTCCTCATGGGTAAGACGAAAGCAAGAACACCTGTCTTAGGGCTTCTGTGGGGCTCCTGGCATGCGGGTGAAGGACCTGGACCAACTCCTAGTACCACAAATTACAGCTATGCCATGACTATTTCATTTTAGAGATGAGAAAAGAAGTCAGGCTCAAGACAGACACGTGCCAGGGACTAGGCCAGGCCATCTGAGTCCCACTGCGCCCTAACAGCCTACTCAAGGAAAAGAGAAGGAGGCTGAAGGAAACACAAATAGCCTAACTGAAGACCCCCTGGCTTCTCAAGAGCTCCTGTCAGGGATAAAGCCCAGGCCTGGGGAAGTTATGAGTCAGAGCAATCCAGATGTGTGGTAATCTGAGGATTCAGGGTCCTCCATGGTGCGGGTGGAGATCGGGGTGCCTGGCCTGGACCCATCGCTGACTTGGCCGTGCACTGCTGGCCAGAGATGTTGCTCTGAAGCCTTGGGTCCATTCAGTCAAGGGAGAGAGGGGGTTTGGGCCCAGATCTGATGCATTGGTGGACAGGATGCAGGCAGGAGCAAGGAGAAGGCTTTCCTCCTTCCCACATAAATATATATACATTTCGCCCTCCTGCCCTGCTAGTGTGGGGTAAGGTGGTGTAGCCAGACTGGACAGCAGATGGGCAGTACTCATCAAATTAGATCAACACATGCCATATGACCCAGTAACCCAAAATAAATTCTCACAGATATCCATAAGGGCCTTGCTCCTCATGGAAATGTGGTCGTGGGACCAGCAGTATAGGCATCACCTGGGGGCTGGTTAGGAATGCAGTCTCAGGCCCCGCCCAGACCGGCTGGATCAGGGCTGCATTCTAACAAGATTCCCAGGTGATACGCGTGCACACCAACATTGGAGAAGTGCTGCAGAAGGGGATGTGCTGGAGAATGGTTATGGCAGTTATTGGTGGGGGCGGGGTAGGTAAAGGAAGGGTAAACCAAGGCAGATGAGCACCATCAAGAGGAGGCAGCAGTTAGAAGGGACAGAAGCAACAGGGAGCAATCTTAAAATCTTAGCATCGAGTGAAAAGAAGCTGGATGAGAAAGAATACAATTCCTTTCACACAAAGTTAAAATGCATGCCAGCAAAACAAGACACTTTTTGGGGGGCAAGAACACATAAAAGCAAAAGATAAACAGAATGGAATGGACAACTCAAGGGAGCAGGCAGATGAGAGTGGGGTTAGAGATAAAAGTGAATAAAGTGAGGGATCTTGCAGACAGGAAAAATGACAACGCCAACGAAATTCCCGAAATTCCTTTAAATGTACAAAAAAGTCTTCCATTTTAGAGTTAAAGACTTAAAAATGCAAGCCTGGGGAGAATGAACATGCTGGAATGAGGGAGTTCTAAGCCTTTCCGGTTTGGGCCAGGAAGAGTGAGTTGTCCCACTGGCCTCAGTGACCCGGGCGGCTGGGTGGATATCTTTGCCTGCCCTCCCCTCCCCCACCCTGCAGCCCGCTCCGATGCGGTTAGAGTGGGGCTGGGAATCCAGCAACCTGTTTGGCCTGGCCAGAAAAATAATCAGGTCAGGCAGGGCATAAGGAACCAGAGCGGAGGAGGTGTCAGTGGAGAGGGGCCTTGCTTCTAAGTAGAGCGGGGACCCGCAGCGGCATGCGCAAATGCTGGGGGCGCACCTAGGAGCGGGGGCACACAGTCCGGCTTCCCTTCGCCCCAGGCAACCGGGAGCAAGGAGGAGCGGCCGGGACGCGGGAGGGCCCGGGAGGGCGGCGTCAGGGGCGCACGCTGCTGTGGGGTCCCCGGAAGGAGGAAGCCGTGCGGCGCCCAGGGAACTTCCAAAGGCCGGCTGCGGGAAGCCAGGAGGGGACACTTTCCCTCAGACTCGTGGGTGCAGAGAAGGCGGAGGCTATGTTGGGGCTGAGCGAGGCTCGGGGTGGAGGGAGCGGCTCATGGGGCCGAACAGTCAGCCGCCACAAGGAAGGCGGGAGGAAAAGGGGTCACCAGGGAGAGGGAGGCGGCCTGTGCAGAGCTTGCGGGACGCCCAAGAGCCAGGGGCAGGGGGTGGGGCACTGAGGCGGGGTCCCCCCGCACGGAGGCTGAAGCGGCTACTCTGAGGCGGGGGAGGTAGCGGGTTGGGGGTGGGGTCCCTGCGCCGGAGACACCAGAGGCTGGTAGCGGGGTGCGGCGCCCTGAGGGCATCGCTCTCTCCCCCAGGCCCAGGTGCGCGGGACAGGGACGAGGGCGAAGGCTGGAGGGCATCGAGGCGGAAGGGTTGACCTTGGGGCAGAGGGGGACGGACGAGAGTCTGAGGCTGGGAGGGAAATCCCAAGCCCAGCCCCAGATCGGAGGGTCGTGGATATCACACAGGCAAAGCGCTAGCGGTCCGGGAGCATTGAAGTCCCCCGGAATCGCAGCACGCGGACCCAGCGACCGACAGCGCACGGCGCGCCCCCTGGCGGAGATCTCCGGCTCTGGCAAGGAAGAGTCACCCTGGGCTGGGGAGGAGAGGAGAGGAGGAGAGGGGTAGGGGAGCAGGGGAGGAGCGGAGGAGTATCCCCCAGGCCTGGACACCGGCACTCGGGCATAGGGGGCAGAGCTTGGAGCCAGGGAGAGCCATCTCTGGCCCACCATCATCACAGTGGCAGCTTCGCTCACTTCACACTCCTTGCCCCAAATCTCTGGTCTGGGTCCCCTAGCCAGAGACCCAGGGGCCTCGAGCGCAGACCTCCTGAGAATCCTGGGGAAGGAACAGCCCAACATAGCCGGCTTGACAGTGACTCCAGCCCAGCCCTAGTCTGATATACCATTCCTCCTGGGGTAAAGAGCCGTCTTCTGTGAGGTTGTCAGAGTCTCTGGATGCAACCAACTTTGGACAAGTTATTAATACTATCTTTTTCTGCTGAGCAAACATTTTCATCTATATTCTGGCACTAATGCTTACTTCCTTTGTACTGATTTCATATCTTTCAAATATATTCCATCTTAAAAATAAAAGAACTCGATTTAACATCTGTTGTTTCTACCATATTTTCTGGCCTGTGTCTTCAAATGTCTAACCCCCCAAATATCAATTTTTTAAATTGATATGTGATATTATACACTTGCAAAATATTTGTAACATATACGAAAGTTATGAAGCTCTCTAAAAGAAATTGCATCAATCTAAAAGGCAGAGGTTATCAGGGTAGGGCCTCTTCCTGTGCGTTCCTTATCTTTCTGTGCAAGCTGGATTCCCAATGAAT